GAGACAATTAAGTGATCAAAATATACATTGTTGCACTTGACGGAAAATCTATTGACAATTAGTGATTGATAGTGTAACGGACCAAAATGAAACAATTCAAAATATTTCATTCAATTTCACCAGCACAACTATACATGTTAGTAAATTGTACAATTAAATAAAAACATTGTGAGAGTATGACTGGTCACAATAATGTAAATATATATCCTCCTTTTCCTCTAAAATGCAAAGTTAAAGAAACAACAGTAAAAGAACAGAACAGAGTAATTACCCCCAACCAAATAACATAATGTATAAAAAAAAGGTAAAGTTCTCCCCTAGTTTACAAAGCACTGCACCATGAAGACATATAGGGAATTATATTACTATTACTAGATGAGCAAAAGATATTAACATGAAACAAATGAAACTCCATCTATCCTTGTCTTAATCATCTAGTAATATCTACACATGTTCAGTCAGGGATATGGTAGAGAATAAATGTTACACTTCACACTTCCAAACATTATCATTCATCACATTTGCATGGCCATACAGCCCCTTAAGCATATTACAGTTCACTGCCGTTAACCTACAGAGTATGAACATTGGACTGCAATGAACAACAAAACTACTAAGCAATTCATGACTATTAGCTTGAGACAGACATAAATTCCTGATTCATATTCTAAAGTTTGGTATGACAGAAATAACCGAATGATGAATCACTACTTCAAACATACGAAAAACAGACCAAATAATTTTCATGTAACATAATCCTATAACCTCAAAATCTTATGTTTTTCATACATCTATGCCTTGTCCCAAACTCAATTATTAATATGCTGAAGTGTTACAATTAGTATTGTTTTATTCATTTAATGCCAGTGAAACTAAGTAGCTGACTGAAACTCTATTCAAATATGTTCCGAGGATGCTGCAGTATTGTGAAGTTTCCATGAAGTACTTCGGCCAACATTATAATCAACAGACTTTTCCAACTTCTTTTTCCGAATTTGAAGTGGCCAATTAAATACCACGCAATCGAGCATGTCATTTTCACTTTTGTTGTGGTTAAAGGCGCACAAACAGACGTCAGTACACCGTTAGACAAATCTGATACTTCTGTAATTAAATACAAGAAGAATGTTATAGTACTTTACAGATTTCTTATATTTCAAAAAGTGCCCTGTCCTTGAACTTGAATTAAACCTGGTTCAGTACCATAGTTTCAAACACTTTTTCACACCTGGTATAATAGCGGCCAAGCTCCTTTGGAATCTATTTCCAGAAATTCTGATGCTACATTGCTTTTTGATGCAACCGTGTTCATTTTACCCACACAATAAACCCACAAGCCATTAACAAAACATACAACAAGCTTGCACTATCAACTCCACAGAATGCCACACTGCCAACACAACTACTTCTATTTCCTACTATTAAGCAGGGAGGTCAATGAATATAATATCTCTCGAGATAGCTTAATGTCCCATACTAGTCAATTCAATGAGAATGTGGACTTGTCTAAAATCATAATATTATTTTATATTATTCATGATGTAGTTGTAAATCATTTTAATATTATAAAATATGTTTACGTACGGAATATATTTAGTTTGTTTTACTATTCTTCGAGATTATAACTGTCGACTACATCAATCTTTCAAATTTTGGTACTTCTGTAAAGTTTGTGGTGTCGGAGGCTGTTCTGCACGAAGTTGATATGGATGAAACTGTTCTTAGAGTACTTTCTTTTCAGTATTAGTTGCTGTTGTAAATTAACGCCATGTTTCTAAGTAAACTGTGTGTTACCACATCCCATGTGGATAAAACGTTGAAGCTATTTTTGGCACGTAAAACGAACTGGACTGCAATTTGTAGTTTTGCGGACCAATGCAAAGCATCAGTACAGTTAACGGCAAAATGTCATTACGGATTTAGTACGACCGATAGTAGCAGAAATATTCAAGTGTACTATGGAAATTTAACGCCCCAGATTCGTGCAGTGAAAATTTTCTCATTAGTATCCAGTGTAGCTGGTCTGGCGTCGCAACCTATTCTCGTACATCAAATTCCAAACTTCGGAACTCCAGTTGTAGTAGCCCTCTTTGGTTTTGTCGGTTTCTTTACCTTCGTCACTCCATTCTTACTCCATATGATTACAAAGAAATATGTTACTCATATATACTTCAATTCTGATACTGAAATGTATTCTGCAGTTCGCTTAAATTTCTTCCTGAGAGAAAAGACGGTAATTAAAGTAATGCAGCTTCTTTATGTGTTGCTAAACTACTGCTTCCCCTTAAAAGAGTTATGTGGAGAAATATGAGGACCAAAGCCTAGGAGGATGCCTTTAGTCATTTTTAAATAATGTAAAAATCTCATAGATGTCACAAAGGCCAGTTAGACCAGTAAATATAGAAATACTGTCAACATAACTTGTCACACTTTAAACAGTAAAGTCATATTAGAACTTGGTTACTCAGGCAAGAGAGAGTAATACTTCTCCAGTCTAATTCAGCTTAGGAGATGCAGACTGCTAACAGAATTGACAGGCCTTTGGCCCAGCATATTACAAATAAAAACTTAACCATATTACAAGAATTGATGCAAAAAATTTATGTTAATATGCTGAAGTTCTTCATGATCTGCGTAAGTCAAGTTGCAGCTCCATCCAAAATCATGATGTGTGTGAGGATTATGACTAACTCTTTATGACTTGAACAGGTTACCAGTGTGTTGCAAAATCCCCTATCCTGGAGAACCAGGATTTCCTTCCCTTAGGTTTCCTACCATGACCAATGAGTCATGCCTACATACCTGTAACCCTGGGAAGTGAACTGTATTTGGTGCTACCCACTAAGCCAGTAGGGCCTGGAACTCACAAAGGCAGGGTTGCAACTCTCTGGGGTTGAAGTGTCTCTTATGAGAGCTCTTTTTTTTAAATATAGTAAAACTTGAAGCCCTAGTCTTCTGAGCAAAGTGACAGGGATTTTTGAGGATGATGTTGAAGTCTAGCACTGATATCTAATTCTCTTCACTGTCAGCAGTGATGTTAGGTTTGAATATTCAAATAAAAACAGTAGCATTTCCAACAGGCCTAGCTCAGGGCCACAGTGAAAGGTCCAAAAACATTCTCACTACAGTACCATGTATAGGTCCGGCTAAAATTGTGTTTGTCTTTGAACAAAGGGCATAAAATGAACATAATGGAATGGGAGGTTATGTCCAGTCAACTAAGCTTCCCAAACCACAAAATGACTTTCAGTGAAATTAGGAAGCTACATTGAAAGTTGTCAATTAAATATTCATTTGGACCATCATTCCATGGGAGAGTGTCTTACAGGAAATTACTGAAGAACTGTAATATTCTGCTAGCCAGAAAATTTTTACTGTCATCATCATCACATAACATTGAAAAATTTCAAATAGATTCGGATATACACAGTATAAGATACAAATGTAACCTACATGTTCCAACGCTAATCACAGTAAATACCAGAATGCAGTGCTGATGAAAATAGTATTACTGGTAACCACACTGTAAATTTTGTTGCAAGATAACAATTTTCAGTATTTGTATACAGTAAACTCCTGGTTATCTGGCATGTGTGGGGACTGAGGTGTACTACTTACATGAGTGTGCCAGCCACATTGGAAAAACTCTAACAAGAAACCCAATTTTCACAGTTTTCACCCTTTTCCAGTCTTTCACATATGTCCATTTTCTGTCTCAAAGCCAGAATAACATGTTTTCAGTTCCTAGGCAACATAACAGATTGATGGCAAACATTTTATATATACTATAATGGCAGTTGCATGAGGGGGTTAAGATGCTGAACACTCCTAGTAAGAGCTGGAACAACTACTGTGAGCAGAGAGAACACACATCACGACTCGTTTTTTAAATTACTTTATAAATAAAAATTATACTTTTTCTTCAAAATTGTTGCTGGTTGCATGAGAACTCCACGTGTTTGGATACCAGACAAGTGGGAATTTGTAAGATTTGAGGTTTTCACAGTGGTGACTATGAAGAATGCCATTTTCTGGGATGTGGCGCTGTGTAGATATTGTGTAAACCAACATTTCCAAGGAACGTATCACCTCCATCTTCAGGGTATAAAAATCCATGAGTCACAGGCTTAAACTGGCTCCTTTCTCACAGATTTTTATACCCTGAAGATGGAGGCAATACGTTCCTCCATAATGTTGGTTTACACAATATATACACGGCGCCACATCCCAGAAGATGGCATTCTTCAAGTAGGAACTTAACTGTATATGAAATTACATAAGGAATTACAAACACTTCAGATAATTTTAAATTACACTGCAGTTATTTTGATGTGCTTGCTTTTTACAGATTACCTTCATGCCAGATGAGGTTATTGTGCCAGATGTGCCTGGATTGTTTACCTCTTTCCAAGTTAAGGGATCACCTTTATTTGTGGATCCACGGCTCTTTGTTGATCCTGGACATTACACAAGGATAATGGGCTACGACAAACCAATAGATTTTAAGGTGAATGACGTCTCAGCGGAGAACATGAAATCTACAGGAAAGAAAGATACTGCTCAATAGGAGCTGCCTGCATCATTCTGTGTCATCCTGCAAGAAACTGTAACAAATAGGTTGGGCTGACTATTAAATGCAACATTCTGACTGTTTTAAAACATTTATTTTGCAGCATATTTTCATTATGTATAACAGATCTATGTAAAGATAGCCTGTAAATATATACAAGTAAACAATTACATGACTATGTGGAAGTTTTTTATTCACTTCACTGTAGTAGTACAAATAACCTTTCAATGCAGTGTAATCTCTATTGGTTGGATTAGAGGATTCGATAGTGAAGACTGAAGAGTTTTCTCTTCTGGGATGTAACATTGTAAAGCCCGGTAGAAGTTCAATGATGTTTCGCACTGCCTGCTTGGCGCACTTTTAACCACTGAAGATGGAGGCAGAATTTTCCTCTGAAATGTCTGTGAAATTCTAGCAGACTGTGGTATCACATTCCAGAAGACAGAACTCTCTATGGTATTCTGGGCTGTCACCATGTAATCTGGCAGGTAATACCTTAGGGCCTCTGCATAAAACTCTCTAAGATACTGAGCATCTGATTTTGTGGGCCATGTGAACGTATGAGAAAGGCATCCAGCATTTGGTGTCCCAATGCCAAACATCCCACACAGATATCTATCAAACCTCCCTTAACTGATGGGTCAGACTTCGTCTACTCTACTATGATGACCTGGACTTTCATCTGTTCTCTTATATAAGTTCTGCTCATGCTGTTAAAGATTTAGACACACAGCACCACAGAGAAGCTAGATGAGTACATATAAGACATCCCTCCATAACACACAAAGAAATACATTACAGCATGTATACCACACCCCTCTAAATTGAAGGGTTAGTCTTATTATGGTTCTATCCTGAACAGAAAACATAGTTTTCAATAGCTTAAAAATTAAAAATATATTGCTAATGTAAAAAGTCATTTTTAATGTGAATACACAGAAGTGCCTTAGACTATCTTAACATACTGCTCCCCTTGTCACATATTAGTTTTGGCACCTAACATACATAACTTGTAATTACTTTGCAGTATGGACTATACACTGTAAACGTCCTTCATCATGTACTAACATCAGTTTTTATTAACTGAACAGTATTAGGCCTTCATAGCATTTTGCATAAACCTATATCTTATATTTATAACTTTCTTGGCACCTCTCTTAATATGAAATTGCTATATACATTTTATGTTCCAATAATGACTACATTAGCATCCAGAATTATATTTCTAATAATCACAAAATTTTGAGCATGTGAGAAGTACACAGTCATCAAAAAATCACACAACCCATTAAAAATATAACAGTTTTATTCTGTCGACTTATGTTAATTGTACAGTACTTTCCATAACACTACAAAACAGAAATTCACAATACATACTGAAAATAACCTTGCACAAATTCACTCTAAAGGTTCTTGTACTGGTATATCAATAAAACAATAGCTAATATGCCAGAATGTTTACCCTGCCAGAGATATTTTTATCTCCAGTTGCACACAGATGTCCTGAGAATATGATCCACAACAAACAGGCATTCGCAAAGGAGCAAACATCACTACCATAAGAAGCGTCATGCAATACAGAGCCACTGAATTTGTGCAACACAGCGGTACTCAACCTGAAACTTAGTATATTAAGGATTAATCTGAACACATCAGGCTACATACTTTGCTTTGCAGTGTGTGTGTGTAAGAGCATAATATGCTGACCCTTATTGACATTACTGTGACATTACATGACTACAGTCCAGGTAGTCAAACACTGCATTTTTCTGATATCAGCATCACAACCTCACAGTTAAAATACAGCCACCAGCCAGCCTGAAATAACTTGGAAGTTTAAAATCACCTAACCTCATACAAGAAACTGTTACCATGAATTTAAATTATTGTTGCCAACTCCAGGATACCAGGAGATTTCGGATTCCCATTCTTGGACAATAAATATTAAACAGTGAATATACAATACATTACTCTTGCAACATATCTTCACTACTGAAAAGCTCATTCGAAAGTGATGCAGCTGTTGGAGGATCTACAGCATCTGCCCAGTGCATTCTGTATCTGATTATAGCGAAGCCACCATGTGCATCACTCTGTAGATATGTTCTGTATTGCTCTGCTCACAGAATGGGTTGCATGAATTTTTGATGACTATGTACTGTAGCTCGTAAATGTGTGTACATTCAAACCTTCAACATGAGATCACTCTACAAGCAGTAACTTAATCACAATATAAGTGAAGTGTTTGTCACCATGGTCTTTCAGGCTGGAAGCAGGTCGAAGTCGTCACTGACATGAACCATGGGAACATGAAGATCTTCAATGACAGGTTTTGCTTTAAATTCACATATTCCAAGTTCCTTCATTTTCCACTCCCAGTCCATTCTCTGTACAGCATGAAGAGATTCCGCTTCATTGTGGTGACGAAGCAACATGGACTCCTACCACAGGAAAGATATAACACTAACAATTGTTCTATGAAGAATCTTTGTCTACTTATCTTTCAAGTCATGGTACAGTTTGGTTACGTTAACACTAGGGGAACACATCCAATAAAAGGTAAAAAATGTAAAGTTGTCCCTGTGCTTAACAGTCATATGTTTTTCTCTTTTAAGTACTTTTCATGAAAATGGTAACAGTGGCAACATAAAGACTACTGCCAGCATGCCTATATACCAGTGTGTATTTAATACTACCCAAATCCAGTGCACTGTGTTACCATAATACATACTGTAGTATATAGACCCATTGATAAGTAATGACTATAAACAACACCCGCTGAAGAAATAACTGCAGAATAAGCAATATATGCAAACATGTTCTCATAGAAACGACTGAACTACAACAATGAGGAACAGTGTTTTCTTTGTGGTCAGTGCTGAGATATAAGCAAGACAAGTTGGGAGCTGCAGTTAGTTAGTTATTGAAGAGGGTGGGTTTCCCCATGCACTTAGACCTGTCTTGGTCCATTGTGCTTCCCTCTATGATATTCTACCAGTCTCTATATCCTACCGGTACTGGTGCTTATCATCAGTCCCTCCCAGCCAGTGAGACCGGCTCTACTAGCTGAGAGGTATCTATAATGCTTCCCCCATCTACCAGAGGTATTAGAGACTGTTGTTGGGTGGGAACATCCGTAATTTGGCTCCGTGACCTCCTTTGGAGATATGAGGTTCTTTTACGTGCCGTAAAGCTACGACACGGGACCCACGGCTTAAAGTCCCTCCTGGAGGACTTGTTCCCTGAATTTTTCCGCCCTTAAAAATTCGACGACCTCTGCTGGGTATTTGAACCCGCGTATTACGAGTCATGAGGTGGGAACGTTACCTCTAGACTACAGAGGCCACTTTGGGAGCAGCAGTTAGTCAGTCAGTGAAGAGAAGTGTAGAAGGCTGTTATTAGATGGCAACCTGCCTGGGAGTTTGACAACTGAAGCAATAAGTCAGTCGTGGGACATTCACCAACCAGTAACAACATAAGCACAGGACACTGTCAGCATCCGTTGCCAGGAAACAGCTAGTGAAAACAGAATGAAAAGACTCCGTGTGTGCTGTAGTGAATTGGAGTGTGTGTGAATTTAAGTCACAGCATTTATAGTTGCTTCCGGTTACCATCCGTAAGAATACAATAAATCCAATCTCCAATCCAAACCCCGTCTACAGTCAGACTCGTGACAATATCATCATTGATCCTACTGTACAGAAACAACAGGAGACACAACTGACTGTAATGTTACTGAGTATTATACTGGCTGATTCAAAACAAAATGAGAGAAAAGGAATGGAGAAAACTGAACAAGGTCTTTCATTTTTTTTGTGTTCTGACACACTCGGTATCCTCAAACTAATCAGCATCAAAACATGGAAGGAAACAATGTGCCCTAATCTGAGGTACTATTATGTGAGGGACTGAGGAAAACCCTAATCAGATTAGTCAAGTCTCCCAGCCAAGATCTGAACCAGGCTCCTCCCAAATATATAGCAGGCACATTACTGCTTGCACCAATTTGTTCAGTGATGATATCGCACCCTGTGATTAGAGAGACATATCAAAGCAGATGGGCATAATATGTAGCATGAATGGAGATGCAGAAAATTAATTTGGTCCCTTAATGTGCCACTTGAATCCACTGCACCTTCCTCACCTAAGCACAGACCTCCCAAAACCTCTTTACCCTTATAATTCCCAAATACAAATTTTCTTGGGATGTCATACCTTCCTTGTGTACCGTGCGTTCAGGATATCCCACCCTCCGTAATTCAATCACCTGAACAATATCAGCTGCAGAGACTCCTGAATATGCCATTCATTACCGCTGCCACCATTTTCTTTTTTTTTTCTCAACTGCACTAACCTTAATTTTTTCCCATTTATCATCAACATCCTGCAACCAGCTCAAGAACAGTCGACCATTATACCGTGACCGAGCATTGCGATCCTTCTCTTCCTGCTCTGGTGTTATCACATTGTACACTTCCTCATCCTTCAATATAGTACACACTGAGAATGGTAGTGACTGGTTGGCCAGAGCTCTCGCAGCTCGACCATGAACTCTGAGAATCTCCTGTTCCACTGACAACACAAGTTTCTCCTTCTCAATTACATGCTGAAACAAATGATCATATTGACCACACACCTTCAACCAACCAATGAAACACACAGCTTTACAGTGACAGTATTTTTTTATTTGCAGTGGCCCAGACTTCCTCCTAAATTCTCTTCCAGGCCTACACATTATCGAGTGAAGCATCAAGGCCAACGTTTAATTTCACCTCCCATGAATAACACATATAAACAGGCAACCATAAACCCACTTTCTTATACTGTATACTAATTATGCTTCATATATCCACACTGAAATATTTTAATACTCACAGAATAGACACAATACACCGAAATAGAAGCCTTCTCGCTCGTTCATGATGTAGTACTACACAACTTATTGCAAAACATGTTAACACTTGACAATTCCTTGCTACAGTAACTCAAAATTACATAATTACAAAGATAAATCTCACGTTTACAATGTTTATATATTTTTAATTATGTATATTAGTCACTGGTACTTCAAAGTATGTGCAACAGAATTTACTTATCATATAAAACAGCTTCACATTCCGGCTATTTCACACTCTGGGGAACAGCTCCTGGTACCAACTGGATGGACCCTAGTAGCTGGTCTACCAGTAGAAGTGGTTCGGAGAGAAAAAATCTTTCTAAAATACTGAAATCGTCTTCCACTTAAAATATTGGACATTTTACCTGCATCCGCAACCTGTATCGTTCCTTTTCCTGTTCACTGAACAAGTCCTTCATAGCACCTTGAAGATTTTGTGGAGGAGACACAACTGGAACTGACAATCTTGACGATGCATTCCCAGCCAGAACATATGTACATCGGTTCATAAGGTAATCCTTAAAACCTTGTGGAGGTTTTGGCTGAACTGGAAATAGTCCCTTTCGACGTCTCTCAATCTAATCAGTACAGGAATTGTGATAACATGAACAGCGCTCAATTATAGTTTTAAGACTAATACTACAACAGTAGAGAGGCAAGATATCAGTACGGTTTCCCAAACTTTCTTCATTGTAACAACCCTTCATTCCAGAAAAATTTGGATATGACCCCGCACACACTTATGTGGAAAAGTCTATAGAAATGAAAGATGGAAAACAGGGCAACTTCTGTAAGATAACTAAACAGTGTCTAATACAAATTTATAAGTTATTTAACAACTCTGTTTCAACTACATGGATTATACTGTATCAAATGGGATGGAAAGATTATCATGAATGAATGAGCAAGCAAGAATATGTGGCCTATTTCAGCATATTATCACAGTGTTCATCTGGAGAGACTGAGGAATGCCATGAAAATCATGTTACAATAGCTGCTTGCCCAGCTACGATTTTAACTGGGGGCTCTAGAATACAAGTTTAAAATACTACTATTACACGTACATAAACACATTTCATCAATTCAAACCAAAAAGCATACACTTTCCAGTTCTTTCCCTGAATGCATGCAGGATCTGGCAGGCAGCAAGCACAATTACACACATAAGCAAGGGATTCCACACACTGATACACGAGTTCCTGGCAACAGAAATTTCTGGTATTAATAAATCAAAGATGGTTTGTTCTTCCCATTTATGATTTTTACATTAAAGTTATTTTAGACTCACTCTAGTATCTCTGCACAAGAGCCTGCAACCTCTAGAAGACGCAATCCCTTGTGAAGGGTGGAGGAGTCCATCAGACTTAATGGTGTGACCCAAAGATATCAAATAAGAACCCGACGAATAGGGAGTCCAGTTTTCCACATCTTTAAAGTACTGTGACTCTCTGTCTAGGGGTCATAAATATAGTGGGGGCAGGCCTGTCCAAAGGACTCAGGCAGCAGTGCCTAAACTGGATACCTGAGATCAGGCTAGCAACCTACTGAGGTCAAATGTAATATCCAAAATCCCACAGATAGAAGGCCACACAAATGATGGTAAGACCATACTTTGTTGGGAACAGGGACTTTTCCTAAAGGAGATAGGAAGTAAAAATAACCACATAACCTTGGGAGAAGATAATCTTATGGCTCCACAGAGAGAATTGATGGTTTACAGAACTGCTCTCAAGTGTTGGAACTGAATCCTGAATAAGCAACCTCCTACACAAGAGAAACAGGTACAATACATTAATATAACATAGGGAACAATAAAACAGAATTTGTAAAAACAACAAAGGGAAGGAGAAAAACAAGGATGAAACTGTAAAAAGTGATTAGTAGCATATGAATCCAAGAAGCTGGAATCTGGAAGAGGAGCTATGTATCAGACATGTGACCTGCGTGAATCAGAAAGAAAATAAATTAAGAGTGGAAGAGGCTGGTCACAATCCATTTTGAGACACTACCTGGCATTCAAATGGAGACACCAGGGAAAACCATAAAAAGAAAAAAATTTGGTCAGGATAGATGGTAACTTGGCCAAGAACCGTGTACATGCTTGCTAATAAACCAACTTGGTCACTCTCCACCCTTGACTATGACAATGATAATGTCAGCAGAGGGCACCTACATCTGTGAACCACGGTGGGACCTACTATTAACAATATTCATTTCGGTGAAGGAAACAGAACGGTATGTATTGGATCATGGTACTCTCCCTCCTGAGACCTCTGGAACAGGAGTCTAGGACACTATGCCATTAAGTACTGAAAGACAGAAACATGCACATTAACTAACCTGCTTCCTGATGTTAAGAAAAAGTTGGTAGCAGTTTGTGATTGGCTGCTCATGCGGATGCACTTCTGTTGCTGTATTCGTGGAATCTGAAGGCTCTGACACAGAAGTTGAAGTAGCTGCTGCCTGACTTTCTTTACTCTGTTTCATTTTCCTTTTTCTGGGATGCAGATCAACAGGTGGAGGTTGTGGGGGTGCAGGCTGCACTGGCTGGCCTTGCTGCTCGGCAGGTTCTGTCGTCTTTTCTTCAGGAGCAGATGCTACGGACATGCTCGTAGAGGGAACAGATTTAGTGAGGCTCGTGCTAGTGGTTACTTCCGAACTTGTGAGAGGGACCACAGGTTCTGCTGGGGAGGGAGACTGCCGCTGACTATTGCTCTGGCTTGGTGATGAATTATTGGAGCCCCTGTCAACTGTATTGTTACTGCTCAATCCTGGGGCAGCAGGAGAAGGGGCAGACGTACCACTAACTGAGATGGAAGATGTAGAGAGAGCAGCTGATGATGAGTTGGCAGACCCTGGTCCAGTACCACACGAGGAACCTGATGTGCCACCCCCTGATCGATGAGAGCTGCGCAAGACCCTCTGGTGATGAGTGGAACGCTGGTCTTCAGATAACTGGGGCCCAGCCGCTGTTTCCTTCTTTTCATCAGTTTTCACAGAACTACTGTTACTTCCCAGTTCTGATGCATTTGTGCCATTACTGGAAGTGGGCACAGAGCCAGTTGTACCCGATGCCTCTTTGTCAGGAGCAGTGTCCGCACTATTCGATGAAGCAACAACATAGGGAAGTGCCTGATGATGTCGAGCTGCACCATTTTTTCCACTGCGATTTCCTTGCTCTTGCTCCATAGAAGCACTCTGCTGTGGTATTACAATCTTGAGTGGTGGGACTTTTGGTCCGGCAGCCCACGTGGGGCTAGGTGTTGTTACTGACCCTGTTGCTTCTGGATTACTGCTGTCACCACACTTACCCCCTCTAACCTCATCAGTTTCAGCATCAGTCTCAGGAGCCAGTCCAGGCATAGATTTGCCGCTATTCCCACCAGGAGCAGCAGAAACATTTACCAACTTGGGGCTACTGCCGGCTGACCCTCCAGTACTGCTCGGGCTCCTACGATCTGAATTGCTATTTCCTGACCCATGGACACTTTTGGTAGTGGAGCTGTTACCATTTTTTGGATTACTAGCGACCTTTGAACACTTCTCAGAAGAGCTACCATTTCGACCACCCCCAAATCTACCCGAAACACCACTTCCATTCCTTGAATTCTCCTTGCCACTGTCAGAGTCCTTACGCTTCTTTCGTTTGTTTTCTTCATCTCCATCTTCTGCAGCATCACTTGTTTCTGTGAAACTTCTTTTGCTGCCCTGGTCTGTGGGGCTCTCTTGTCTTGCGGGACTACTGCGTGGTTCCTTTCCATCTGGCACAATCACATGAGCTTCCTTCTTCTCAACATCAGGTGAAGCACTGGTGCCTCGGACAGATGCAACTTCTTTGCCACTCTTGAACTCATACACATCTTCACCACCTGCTGCCTTAGCCTCCATGTTGACATTGAACTCAACCCTAGGGACACAAACAAGTCAGTACAGAGACTGGCTGAAGGCTGGTTACTGGATTTTAGCTCCCTGCTGGTCCTGAGGCACTTGGGATTCTGTTCAATACATACTTGGAGCCTTTCATCAGGGGTACAGTGCAGAAAAATGTAAAACAAACCACTTGAATCCATGAAAGCATCTGCTTGCTTGCTACCTGTTTCACACTGGTTTCTTGGAGGACCTATTCTTAGACCCTGAAGGTGGAGGGGACATGTTCCTCCAAAACACTGTTGATTTTCAACAGGCCACATGGTGTTATACGCCAGAACACAGAACTGTTCAACCAAGAATTATACTGCAATACCTGCACAACATTTCGACAGCCACAGCACCGTACATATTGATAAAAGCACAAAGAACACTTTTTAATAACTTCGGGTGTTCTGTATTGGGTATGCAGCAGGAAACACGAAATGGAATGCACAGTTACGTTTTTATACATTAATAATAACTTCACTCAGCTTGGGGGATACTATTTCATATGGACAGAAGCCCCAATTGCAATAAACTATTATGTTAGGTTACAAATAAGCTTAGAAAAACAAAACAAACTTAGTTCCTGCTCTGGTCAGCAAACCAAACTGGAACTCTTACCTCTTGCTACTGTAAGACGCTACATCAGTAACTGCTGTGACCTTGATTGATCTCTTTTCATCCCTTACTTTTGCCTGATGCAAGCGCAGAGTTTCCCCTGGAGAATTATACTTGTCACCTGCAATACAACACATCTATAAGCTAAGTCTGCAGGTTTCTTTGACTGAGAGTTTGAAAACTTCTCATAGTTTCCAGTTTTCTCCCAAACAAGTTTTCAAAAATTGTTTTTTTCCTTTCAACAATTGAGAAAACAAAGATATCCTGTTTTTCCAGTGGATTCCTTACTTTATCCTGTCATCTGATGAAGGTAGCAGAACCATTTTTCAGAACACCATGGTTTGAACAAAGTGGCATGATGAAAAATATCAAAAATATCACTGAGAAACATTTTTATAATTTGGAATCACTATACAGTATACACATCTTAAATGATGATGATGATATAATGTTGTCCCTGTGCTTAATTAATTAAGCACCGCACTATGAAGACATATGGGGAATGGAGGTATAGCTCCACTATTCCTGATGTATGCACTAGGAGGTGAGTGGTCAGTTTCATGCCCAGGGAAGGAGGCCACAGTACCCACTGGATAGCAGACTGGGTTGGCCCCATGGCCAGTCTGGATGCTGAGGAGTAGAGAAGAATTTCTTTCTCCTGTCAGGAATTGAACCCTTGCCATTCAGCTTACAGCCTGTAGATAAACCAACTGAGCTACCCAGGATCCTCCTACAAATACCTTACATCTTCCCAGAATCAGTGAGCAACTGCCCGGTACTGTCTGGCTATGGAGATCAGCTCAATTATACAAACATGTACATTATGTCAGATCTGAGGTTCTCACAGCCATTACTATGACGAGTGGCGTCTTCTGGGCTGTAACATCATGCAGTCTGGACACACCCTGAAGTTCAAGAGGAACACAGCACCCCCCATTTTCAGGGTTAACGGCTAAGCCAAACAAGAAACCAGATGAGCAGGTGGCAAGCCAATTCTGTCTGCTCCTGCTGACTTCTTGCTTGGTTGACACTTCAACCCTGAAGATGGGGATGATATTTTGCCCTGAAATCTCAGGTGCCAGCAACACTCAAAATCAGGTTTGTTTACAAATGCTGGTGTAAATACAAATATCAAGTGAAATAAAAACAAGAATCCATGCTTAGGATGATTCAATATGAAGCCAGGGTAGACACAGCCTCTCCACTGTGTGTGTAATCTGCATGCAAGGAAACTCAGATAAAAACTTAAAAAGTTTGCATTTTAAGTGTCATATCAGTTAACATCTGTTGACAGGTGGTCAAAACGCGTTCTGTTCTGGAAGATTCCTTCACATCCTTCCCCATAATTAATATTTCAACGACGATCAATTACATCTATCTGACTGTTATAAAATCCCCTTTAACTGAATTATCTTAAATTCCTGAAGTGAATACATCACTATTTCATTTTTCTTTCCACACCACACTAAAATGTCTTCATAACATTTTCACTCCAATCCCTCATTTCAAGCAACTGCACTATGCATTATCTGTCATTAATGACAGACAATATATGAGTAAGACTTCACTTATTCATAACATACTTGGAATCATGTTCACCCTGAAATACATCATGCTGAGGCAGCAACATTAGTCACTTTCTTCACTTGGTTTGATAACAAGAAGTAATAGAAATGTGGTATTAGTGGCAAGAACTTTAAATAGAGAAACATCCATCAATCACAAATATTTTACACAATATTTTCACATAACATGGACAAATCTTTTGAGATCAAAGAATGTTCCTAAAATACACAAAATCTTTTACCTTCAATTGCTAAATAGGTTAGAGCAATGAACAGCCTTCATTATGGCGATTTTGACAGAAGTATCAAACATCATTCCGACAAAAATACCAAAAACCTTAATAGTAAGTTACAGAGGTTCGGTGTTTTGCGACGAAAATACTGACATTCAACCTTGCACAAGGAAAAAAATGAGGGCCTCAAAAGAAAATTCTGGCATTCGTAGGTAAAGAACAGTGAGAAGCGAACGAAATTCCGTCACAGCCTTGCCAAAGCCTTCCGTAATTGTTCATACATATACCGTAATTTTGACATTCCTATTAAAAAGTAGATTGCGGTTTCTAAGAATTAACTTTGAATATTTCCTAATATGGCTATAAGGAGAACTGACATTCCAAACTGTCCATAAACGAACAATGTAGTAAGATACACTCAGTCCATCACAGTACGTCAACTACCATTTATCAGTCTCTGAATGGATTTAATTACTAACACTTTCACCATCTTACAAATTACATTCGACTTTAAAACGCACCTATTACATTCTCAACGCTTAGACCATCACTTCCAGAACTTCACCACTAAGTACATTAAAAAACGTACACACATATCATACGCACTTCGACACTAACGCACAGCCATAGATATAATACAATCAACACGATCAACACTGTGGTTTCACACTGCATCACAACACAACTGCCTCACTGATCCGTGACAAGTTCCGACTACTTCGTAATCACGGATCAACTAGAAATTACATCCCACCATTTTCTTACCTTTGTTCTGCGATGGTATCCTTCGCATCTCACAGGGGGCACCACGAGTTGTGGTTGCGGAAATTTGAATCCCACTACTGTGACAGAATTTAAACTTCTCCTCCTAAATTTAATTTAAAATGTTTGTCAAGGATATGATTTAGGTATGACATAACTCATTTAAAGTGTTTACATCATACAATGGAAATAATGACTTGGAAATGATGATACCGTTCCGTGTCAAACCAATTTTCTTCAGAATATAACAAAGTCACATTTTACGAGACACAAGTCGAATATTGACAAGCTTGGTACAGTATCTAATTTCATATTGTCTTTTACTTTTATGTATCATAGTTCATCCATGTATCATGTGCATTTATGTATCATAAACAACCACTAAAAGCACTTCCTAGATTCTCTGCCAACGAAATTAAAAAATTAGCCACATTATGTAGGTCTTATAACAGTACTCCTTTCTTTCAGTTCTATGAACATCAAATTATATGTCTCAATATTATCCCAATTCCAATATAAACTTTGTACATGAAAATTTTTTTCTTCGCGTGTGATGAATCACACCTCCCTCTTCGTCGTCACCCATTAAGACCGGCAGATCACGACGACATCTTTCGGACAATGTTGGCGAAACTCACAAATATACCGAGTAACAGGTAGGGCGTTCCTTATGAGCCACGGTCCGCTACTTTCCGAATCGTGAGAAGATCTGCCGCCATTTTGCCTCCTCGCGTGTGAAGTGGAATTTTGTCTCCGCCTTCGAGAAATTTCCACCAACCCCCGACTCGCCAAGCCTATCGATCAAAGCACTACGCACACTCCAACACCGCTTCCTCTGTTTACATACATCTGAATCTTAAAATTAATTGTTATAATTGCATAAAAAGATTCAGGCAAAAGGAAAAGAAGAAAATGCTGCAGAATCCCGAATAGAAGTGTTAATATCTTAGTGACATGACGGTGTCAAGAATTGTTGTGGTGAAGGACAATACAGCAGAAGGAACTACCGTCATTCATGGAAGAAACATTTCAGCATCAGACGTTTCTAAAGGAAAGAAATGAAAGCCAAAGAAAAAGGAGAAGTTGAATTATTACTTTACCAGATCTTAGTACAATTTATGGATGTCAAAATATTGAATAGTTTCGTCAAAATATTTTTCTTGTTTATAAAAACGTTTGAGCATCACGTAACAAGAACACACAAAATATGATGAATAAAAGATTAATAACATGCAGCAGAATACAAGCACAAATAACAATAATATTAGTATGAACAAGGTGATGAAAAATAACCGGAAGAGTAATAATACGTATTAACACCAATAAAAATAATATGACGGGGTTAAACTGATACGAGGATTAAATAATTACTTACTCTCAACACGGATTACAGTATAATACAAATAAAGCAGGATCAGTAGTCCTTCCCACATGGCATATGGCAGTGTAGCGGACCGGCTCCATTTATGGCGGTTCACAAATGTTACATATAGTAAATATAGCAGACAGTACAATCTGTGTACATTTACTATTGCGTTATCTGACTTCCATTACAAGCTTGCCGACTGATGGCTTCATTGCAACGACAATTTGCAAAAATGCGGATATTAGCTTTGTAATGTGTTCGTCTGTCCGCAATTTCGAACCCGTTTGTGAAATTATGCAATGAAGTAAAATGGTAAAGCTATCCATGTAACAGAACATGGAGGCTCATAGAGTTGTGAGACGTCGAGGCTCTCACATTTTCTAGGCAGTCTGCTCATAGATAGCGGTGAAGCTGTCAGCCTTACGCGCCGGCCGCCCTTTACTCCTAGGAAGATTCCTGGTACTCATGTCTGTTAGAGGCTGTGTCGAACCTAGGGCCGTAGTGCGGCTGGAAGGATTAGGTCAATTAAAAATCAAATGAGCTCATCGAGAATCGAACCCAGTTCCCGTAAAATCTGTCGATATATTCAACCTTTTATTATTACCAGACGACAGTAACGAGCATTTTGCACGAAGACTAACCCCCCTAAATGCGCAATGAAGTGAAGAATATTTCGAAGAAAGTTGTAGGGGAAAATGAAACACATGTTTTGTGACCAATGCATTATACAGGTATTCTCGGAAGCCTTACGCTCCTCAAGATGAATAAAACAAAAAAGTGCGAGTGGGCCAAAATTGCTGGTGTGCATACATTTCCTAACTTGTTAGTTTCCTTCCTGCTACTAATACTTCGTGCCCTCGCGCAACGGGCTTTGACTGGTTCACAGGAATATATTCGGATCTAAGAGGAATGAAGTAATTTGGGAATTTAGATTATCTTATTACACAATGAGAAACTTCCTGATATCTACGAATTGTTTAATATTTACATTTAGGTGACTGCAGTGGCTTACGTGGGAGAGAAAAGAAACTCATACGAATTTTGGTAAGGAAATCTCCTGGAAAACGGTCACTCTAAAACCTAAAATGAAACATTTCATAGAATTAAGTGCTGTCTTAAGGAAATGAGTTATGAGAATGGGAGGTGGATGGCACTGGCTCATGATCGTGTCCAGTGTCTGGCTTTGTTATTAGCGGAGTTGAACCTTCGGGTTCTGTTCTCAAGAGAGTTTGTTAAGACATGTCTTGGGAAAGAAGGCTGTAAAAGTGGTACGTGGGTGGAACTGGTTCAGGATTATAAGCAATGGTGAGCTTTCGTATTAGTGGTGTCGAACCCTTGGGTTCTTCAATAAACAAAAGGGATGCTTCTTTAAAGGTACTTCGTGTAGGCAACCAAAGGGAAGAAGAGTCTTGTGTAAATAGGGTTCATGTTTGAACTTCCTGTCTGAGTATGAGCACCGGAAGTGCATATTTTTAAAACAGAATCAAATAACTTTCTAGTGATGAAGTAACGGTCTACGTCATTGACTAACAATGACGTTATTGGACGGAGCATGACTTTATCGTCTGCAAAATTTCTCACGTATAGTATCTCAGCGCGGGCGAATTTAAGATGGCGCTTCTATACCTGAAAATAATTTTCTAAATAAAATTAAAACTTGTACGAGATTTGTGTTTCTCACGGCAGTATTAATATTCTGGTAGTGAAGTTCAGCGGACAGGTACCAAACGTTTCGGAGGAACATCATTCTCTCATCTTCAGGGAATAAATTAAACACGTTAGTTTAAAGTAAGCATTCATTTCGGAATTATCTGTGATGTTGCATTAGTTGCGAGAGTTCGTATAACTTGGAGCGAGATGTGAAGATCGAACGTCAAGATATTTCTCACTCTGGAGGTTCACGACTCGAACCTCAGCTTGGACTTCGGAGTCCACTCTTCAGTTCGTAGAGAGGAAGTGGCCATTATATTTCGTCCTTAGTGCTGAAGTGTCTTCCTTTATATGATTCTCGCACCTCTGTATTCTCCAATTACCGCTCACTGCCAGATTTATAGATGGGTTTCCGAACTATCATGATGGCAACTGAGATGTTTCCCGAAACGTCAGGAAATCTTTAGAATTTTACGCGGCTTATTCCCGAATTCCGAATTCCTACAAATACCACACTGCCATAGAGCCATCAAGTCCATTACTGTAATTACAAAAGCACACGCTGAACAAGTACACATTTCAAGAATACTTTTCTTCTAAGAATCAGTATTTCAAACCTAGGCCCCTTAAGCGGCATAAACAAATAAACGGACAAATATTACAATTACGGACAATTAAATAGGCCCAAACAGAGCTCTCAAGAGGCCTACCTAGGCCATAGAATCTTTTTATCACGCTTTTATGAAACCCGAACTTTCATCGCCATGAGCACAGACGCCTGTCATTGAAACCTACGCTACGCCAGTAAAGTCGTTGTGCATCGCAACATCTTGTTACCTAAGATTTATTTGAATATTGATACCATATGAGATACACTAACTTCATGGAGCTGAGCCCTTCATGAGAATCCGCCAGTTGTGCAGCTACTAAAGAATTTCCCAGCATTTCATGGAACCCAAAAGTTTATTACCCTGTTCACAAGAGCCCACCACCGGTCCCAATCCTGAGCCAAATCAATCCAATCCATACCATCCCATCCTATCTCTCGAAGATCCAATTTAATATTATCCCCGCACCTACGTCTAGTTCATCCTATTTACCACATGAGGTAGTACCTAATAATACGTACATGCTTACGAAACTACATTCTGGGTACTGGGTGACAGGGAAGCAGTCAGAGCTGGTCATGCTGTAGAAGTACATCGGGCAAGTTGTTTACTTGTAGAATCCTTATTGTGTAACTTGTAAGGTCGGAGAGGCTCTGGAACTTCGCCTAACGATTCCTCCTTACCCTACAACTCGCCCTGCCGGCAATCAATACATTTCTTCCTTCCAGACGTAATCTCAGTTAAAGGAGAGCGAACGACGCTTGGGCTCCAGCCGGAACCATGCAATGTCAACACAGCCGAAATCTTTTGGAACTTGGAAATATTCCTTCCGCTTCTACATAATCGTTACAAGGAGGGCATGCAAGATACTAACACAAAGACTGAAATGTGTTTTAGGAGCCTTTGTTAAGATGATGTGAAATGCCCCGGCCCTGAGAGAAGAACACAGACCGAGGGTGTTTGAGCAGGGAGATTATGGGAATATTCGGAACTGGGAGAGAGGATGTCAGAGGAGAGCGGATAAAACTGCATCATATCTGTTCTACATGAAATATTACTAGCATGATCGAATCGAGAATAAGATGGGCGGGACACATAGCACACAAGGAGGGAGAGGCGTACAAAGTCACTCAGAAAACCTGTAGGCAAAAAAAAAAGAAAGTTGGAAGACATCGCCGTAAACGATATCAGAGCGTGAGAATTCATGTAGTTGAGGTGGGGATTATGGAGGATAATATTCCTGGAACGTTACGCCGTATAGTCTGGTAAACATTTACCAGTAACTTAGATGAACCTGTTACCTCCAGCTTCTTGTTACTAAAGTGAATCTGAAAGAAACTAGGTATTGAGAGTATTCAACTGGCTCAGGGTAAAGACCAGTCGTGGGTTCTTGTGATTATGACAATAAACATTCAGTTACTCAAAAGGAGGAAAATTTATTGAGCAGATGAGCGACTGTTAGTTTCCCAAGAATGACTTTGATCCGTGGAGTTACTTTACGACCAGTTAATTCGCTTAGTGGGAGGTGGAGTCCAACTGGGTCCACTCGGCACGGCGTCCACTGATTGGCCTATTTTAGCCTGCCCCGGGTGATTATGATGATGGAGAATTTGGTGGAATGAAGATTGGTAGGGGAAACCGAAGTACTCGGAGAAAACCCGCCCCAGCGCCACTTTGTCCACCACAAATCCCACTTGACCAGACTTGGGATCGAACCCAGGCCGCCGCTGTGGGAAGCCAGCGACTAACCCCTTGAGATATGGCGCGGCCTACGACCAGTTAATGGTGCCGAATCTTACAACACTGTTGCTGAGAAGGAATCCCACAGATCAGAGACCCAGTATCGAGGTGGAAATTGGTGGTTTCATTATGATAACAAAATCACGGCCTTCTGGGATATAACGCCGTGTATTCAGGCAGATAGATACAAACGTTTCGGCGAATGGTAGTTTCGTGGTTTGTGTCTGGATTAGTGGTTCTCAATCCGTGTGCCGCGAACCTTTGAAGAGAACAATGAGTACGTAAAAATAAAATATACATTTATATAAAGTTCGTAACTGATATTTTACAG